AAAAAAAAAAAAAAAGAATACCAACCATATAACAAGTAACCATACAATGGCAACCATATACTAAGTTACAAATACTATTGAGGTTTTTATGTATTACAATTATTCTTATGAAAGGCTTATTAGGAGCAATGTAACATAAAAGTCTATGTCGGGTGGTGGCTGTAATTTTGAAATATAACACTACTCCTTTTGCATGACAAAAATGAACTTCAAACATAGTGTTTTTAAGTCTGTGTAAGCATTGTTGAAGGCCTCGCCTACCTCTGATTATGTCTCGCCTAGGCACTAGGTTATAGCCAAGGCCCCCCATGACCTCCTACCTTTTTTCTCCACTTATATCTATTAGAAGTTATGTCTATCCCACGTCGATTAGTTATTGAGTTGCTATTGTGTATAAGTGTGGGCTTGGGCACCCACCCCCTTCTAGCTAACTTTTGGAGATGAGTTCTACTCAGACACATTTATCATGGTATTAGAGCATCTGAGTTTGTTTTGTTTGTTTGGAGGCAATGTTGAGTTTGGACCCAACCCATTTGGTTTGGCACACTATGCGTGAGCGGGGGTGTTGGAAGTTATGATTGTCCCACATCGATTAGTTACTGGGTTGCTATTGTGTATAAGTGTGGGTTGGACACTCTCTCCTTAAGCTAGCTTTTGGGAATGAGTTTTACTCATGCCCAAATAGAACCACATAAATCTCGAAACCGGCTTGGGGTTCTATTAGATCCTGCCTAGGAGCTCGGCCACAGTCCATCACTTAGATAGCATTTAGCAAGTGCGCAAGACCTAAAACTATAATGCTACAGTGATTTTGTGTCCTTAAGCACATATGGACGCAAATTTGTTGCCTAAGTTTCAATTCGATGCATTCAATTTTATAATTTTCATAACATTGTTGTTTCGGTATGAAATATACCCTTCAAAACTAAAATACCCAGAAAAGCCAACGGAGGATGTGGACGAGAAATGCCATATTAGCTTAGGGTGTGTTTGTTTATAAATTTTCTCAATCCATACTCAAAATCTAACTCAACTTTAACTCAACTCAACTATCATCAATATTATCAGTAAAATTAAATAATATCAATCAATTAGTTTTTACACATGACATCAATTTTAATTGCACTATTCATACACTCTTATAATTTTAAACTAACCATCACCACATCATCTCTCTCCTACTTTTACATCAAATCAATTTTAGTTATTTTATTTTAAATATTATTTTAATATACACTCAAAATCTCCATAACAACTAACTATACCAAAATTTTCAAAATTAACTCTGGTTAACCATCGAAAAAAAAAAAACTCTGGTTAACCAAAAAAACTTGTTTTGATGAAATACATTTGAATCCAAGCACGCGCATGTAAGGGCTCAAATTAGCACGGAGAGATGCCAAAGCTGCAAATTCCCAAGAATTTATCTTCTTTTTTGTGTTATTAATAAACAAATTTATTATAGCTTACTAAATGGATGTGCTGGTTGTAGGTTAAGTCAAGTGGGAACTCGCTGTTAGGTCTCGCTCTTGAGTCCTCTAACGCTTGCAATGAGAAGAGTTGCATCTTTTTAGCAGCATCCGGAAGTGCCACTTTAACCGCAAATAAATTCCAGAACCAATTTACCAAAGTTGTGATGCCGCATAGAGTAAGCAAGGTGGAGGTGGACCCTGAATGGTTGGTGCAGGAAAGTAGCATTTACATGAAGGGACACATATTGAGAGAAATCCGGGCTGTATGCTACACATCAAAATATCACCAAGAAACTGTTAAGAACAACAACTCCCAATACTATGCGGTGCTTGGTGATATTAAGATCACTAAATCTCAAGAGAGTACGAAATTCCCACCGTCATCATCTTGGCTCATTGGTGGTCAGTTTGTGAGTTGGGCTGCCGGGCTTGGTGGGTCCAAACTCCTCAGTGTTAAGCTTACTTGGCAGCTGAAAGATGGTAGTGCTGATATTTTCACCAACTACAATATATATGTTAGCAAGTCATCTGGCAGTGAGATGATTGAGGGTGCTTTGGATTATCTTGGTGTGGCGCTACCAAAAACATATTATGTTTATAAGCTGGAAGTTGCTTCTGGCGTATCCGGTCTGAAATTCCTCGTCCAGCCCTGTGGTCCTGATGGGGCTTGCCAAATGCTTCAAGATTCACCTTTCTTCTTATTGCAACTTCAAGGTTTGTAAACTCTATTTCTTGTTATTTACTTCAGTTTCTGGTTTAACAAAAACTACTTTTTGGCTGAATTACCAAATATCATTCATCTCGGACATTATGTATACACTCCACATCTTTCTCCACCAGTAAAATTGTATGAGGGTTGTAGAGTTTTTACATGCTACAGAAATTTCTTTAATTGAAATATACATATCAACAAGCATTTAAATCCTGTAAGACATTAAATTTTCTTGGGAATTATGCTAAAGTAAAAGGCAAATGTTTGTATTTTTCAATTTGGTTTGGATGAGCCTGTAATGACTTCCTAGTGTTGGGATCAAAATTATGAAAAGAGGGAAAATCACCATCATTGCCCCAGAAAATGCCGAGAATTCGGAGAAGCTGTTTGTTTACTACATTAATGGTAACAATCTAAATGCCAATGTTGGGTATATCGATAATTGTGTTCCCTTTGTAGATGCTAAGGTTGAAAGTCACAAAATATTGCCAAGGTATGTGGAGGAGGACAAGGGTCGCCTAGTGAAACTGGATGGAACTCGAGCTGAATTATGGATAGTTTGTGTAGTGGTGACGTTAAACTTGATTATTTTAGCCATCTATATGTACTGGATAAGCTGTCTTTGACATGAATTTGCAATGAAAAATGAAAAGAATATGTAATATCCATTGGGAGTTATCTATTCTACCTTAAATGTATTGGCAGACATCCGTACATTTTTGGACTTTTTTTTTTTTTTGGTTTAAATAGTTTAACTTTGTTTTAAATTTCTTTTAAGCATAGTTCTACCTTATATGTATTGACAGACATCCATACATTTTTGGACTTTTTTTTTTTTGGTTTAAGTAGTTTAACTTTGTTATAATTTTCTTTTAAGCATAGTTTATATGTACTGAGTTATCTATTCTTCTTTATTGAGGATTTATAGTTAGATCTTGTAGTGAAAAATGAAAAAATATTTATTACCATTGGGAGTAATTTATTATACCTTAATGGTATGATTGGTATAGCGTCCTTTTCGTTTATTATACTTTTCTATGATTTATGAGATTATTTAATTACCTTTATATTATCATTGCCTTCGGTTTATTATATTTATCGTTTGTGTTGAGGTGTGAAGATTAGTCAAAGAAAGGGAACTTCCTCGTAAGTTCCTGGTCAAAGAAAGGGAACTTCCTCGTAAGTTCCTGGTAAAAGATAGGGAACTTCCTCTTAAGTTCCTAGTCAAAGGAAGGCTACTTCCTTGCAACTTCCTGGTCAAAGGAAGGGAGCTTCCTCTCAACTTCCTCGCAAGAAGGATTTGTTTGGCTATAAATACCTCATTTTGTAACCTCATTTGTATCCAATCCAAGTGAAAAACAAAAACATATGTGTAAAGAAAGAGTCGAGAGAGTGTATTCATATGAGTTTGTGTGAGTTGTAACACTCGGTATATCCTCTTCTTCTAGTTTATTCTCCTGGCTTGGTTCGCCCCCAGACGTAGGATTTAATCCGAACTGGGTTAACAAATCTTCGTGTCTTTTATTGATTTTACGTTGGTGTATTATTATTATTCCATCTTATCCAACCTTATTTCCCAACAACTGGTATAAGAGCCAGGAGGTTGGAGATAAGATGGAGGGAAAGATTCAAGTCGAACGGTTCAATGGTTCCGACTTTGGATTCTGGCGAATGCAAATGGAGGCTTACCTGTACGGGAAGGACCTCTATGCACCTCTTGGGGAAAAGCCCGAGAAGATGAGCGATGATGAATGGAAGGTGCTCGATCGGAAGGCGATGAGCGCTATAATTCTTTCGCTCTCTCGGAACGTCGCCTACCATGTGAAGGGAGCAAAAAGCACGAAGGAGGTCTTGCAGACCCTCGCTGACATGTATGAAAAACCATCAGCAATAAACAAGGTGATGCTGATGAAAAAGCTGTTCAAATTGCAAATGGAGGAGCGAAAGTCAGTGGCCGATCATCTCAACGATTTTAATCAACTCACGACGCAGTTGGCATCGGTGGATATTTCGTTTGATGATGAGGTAAAAGCCTTAATCTTGCTCTCATCATTGCCGGACAGTTGGGACGTGGTTGTTACTTCGGTGAGCACTTCTTCTGGCAAGGAGAAGTTGAAGTTCGACAACATCAGAGACATGATGTTGAACGAGGAGACCCGCAGAAATCAGGCGGGTGGGTCGTCTGGCTCAGCCCTACATACAGAGTCTAGAGGGAGACCCGAAATACGAGGGAAAATCCGTGGGAGGTCAAAATCCAGGGGGAGGAATAAAGGCAAGAAAGAGATGGTGTGTTTGAACTGCGGGAAGTCTGGACATATGAAAAGCGAATGTCGGGCACCAAGGAAGGACAAAGAAGGCCGGACAGCCAATGCCGCGACGGAGGACACGGCGGATGCACTCTTGTTGAGTGTGAAAAGCTCGCTCGATGACTGGATCGTGGACTCAGGGGCCTCATTTCACTCTTGCAGTAGCAAAGACATCATGGAACCATACACTGCAGGTGATTTTGGCGTGGTATATCTTGCAGACAACAAATCCTTAAAAATTGTAGGGAAGGGAGATGTGCAGATCAAGTCCGGAAATGGGTCGTGCTGGACCCTACGGGATGTGAGACACATTCCAGGACTGAAGAGGAATCTCATCTCAGTTGGACAGCTGGACAATGACGGCTTCCACACAATGTTTGGAGACGGAAAGTGGAAGGTCAGCCGAGGAGCTATGACTTTGGCAAGAGGGCTGAAGTCAGGAACGCTTTACACGGCGAGTAGATCCAGCTCAAACATTCTCCTGGCAGGAGATGTCTCACAATCGCACTTGTGGCACAGTCGCTTGGGCCACATGAGCGAAAAAGGAATGAAGGTACTAAAGTCGAGAGGACTTTTGCCCGAGTTGGAGTCAGTGGACGTTGGTCTCTGCGAGCAATGCGTGCTTGGAAAGCAGAAGCGAGTGAGTTTCACGACCACCGGGAAAGCTCCAAAGACAGAAAAACTAGAGCTCGTGCACACTGACTTATGGGGGCCAGCACCGATGACATCTCTTGGAGGATCGATGTACTACATGACGTTCGTCGATGACTGCACAAGAAAGGTATGGGTGTATTTTTTGAAAAGAAAATCCGAAGCCTTTGATACTTTTAGGAGATGGAGAGCACTCGTGGAGAAAGAGACAGGTCTGGAAGTGAAATGTCTCAGATCCGACAACGGTGGCGAGTACAACAGTGAAGCCATCAAAGAATACTGCGCTGATCATGGGATCCGGATGCAGAAGACTGTCCCAGGGACACCTCAACAAAATGGCATTGCGGAGAGGATGAACAGGACACTGAATGAGCGTGCGAGATGCATGCGATTGAAGAGTGGACTGCCCAAGATGTTTTGGGCAGAAGCAGTCAGCACGGCCGCTTTCTTGATCAACCGGGGGCCTTCTGTTCCACTGAACAAAAAAATTCCAGAAGAGGTTTAGAGTGGTAAGGAAGTTGATCTCTCTTTCTTACGTACCTTTGGTTGTTTGGCTTACGTTTTGAATGACGACCGGACAAAGCTGGATGCTAAGTCCGTCAAATGTACATTCATTGGATATGGGACTGACGAATTTGGGTATAGATTTTGGGATGATCAAAATCGGAAAATTATTCGCAGTCATAATGTGGTGTTCAATGAAGGCATAATGTACAAGGACCAGAAGGAATACCTGGACGATGACAAGACCATGCAGGAGTATGTTGGTCTCGATATTTCAAATACCGAAATCATGAGACCAGCAGATTCAGTGGGAGCTCAGATAGATGAGATCGAGCGTACAGAAGAAGAGGCAGAACCAGAATCGGATGAACCGATTGCTGAGAGCAGCACGCCTCTGGCACTGGGTCGAGAACCGAGGATGAGAAGGGCCCCGGATAGGTACTCCCCTCCTCTTTATTACCTACTTTTATCTGATTCTGGGGAACCCGACTGTTATGCAGAGGCAGTTAAAGATGCCCACAAGAGCAAGTGGGAGCTTGCGATGGACGACGAGATGAACTCGTTGAAGAAGAACCACACATGGGATTTGTGTGATCTCCCACAAGGAAAGAAGGCTCTTCAAAACAAATGGGTTTATCGGGTCAAGGAGGAATCAAATGGAACAAAACGGTACAAGGCCAGACTTGTAGTAAAGGGATTCCAACAGAGATACGGTATTGACTTTACCGATGTTTTTACACCTGTTGTTAAGTTAACCACTTTTCGTTTAGTGTTAAGCATCGTAGCGGCGGAAAACTTGGAGTTGCAACAGTTAGATGTGAAGACGACCTTTCTGCATGGGGATCTCGAGGAGGAAATTTACATGGTGCAACCAGAGGGATATAGAGGAAATGATCAGCAGGTCTGTCGCCTAAAGAAGAGCTTGTACGGACTGAAACAGGCTCCTCGACAGTGGTACCGAAAATTCGATAATTTCATGCTGGAGATAGGATACTCCAGGTGTAATGTTGATCATTGTTGCTATGTGAAGAAGTTCGGTAACTCTTTCATTATTTTACTGTTATATGTGGATGACATGCTGATAGCAGGATCAGATGTCAAGGAGATCGAGAGGCTCAAAGATCAGCTATCAAGCAGATTTGATATGAAGGATCTAGGAGAAGCGAGACAGATACTGGGCATGAAAATCACGAGGGACAGAAATGCTGGTAAACTTTGGCTTTCTCAATCTGATTATATTGAGAAGGTGTTGTGCAGATTCAATATGAATATTGCAAAGCCGGTTCGAGTGCCATTGGGAAGCCAGTTCAAGTTGTCCAACAAGGATTCGCCCCAGGATTGCTCTGAAAAAGAAAGGATGAGAGTTACGCCATATGCTTCAGCCATCGGGAGCCTAATGTACGCTATGGTCTGCACCCGGCCAGACATAGCACATGCAGTGGGAGTAGTCAGTCGTTTCATGAGCAATCCAGGAGTGGTGCACTGGGAGGCGGTAAAGTGGATCCTTAGGTACCTGAGGGGTACTAAGGACCGGGCATTAGTATTTGGCAGGAGTACCCTTACCCTGTCTGGGTTTGTCGATGCTGATTTTGCAGGAAGTGATCTTGACAAGAGGAGGAGTACTACTGGGTACGTGTTCACTTACGGCGGGACGGCCGTATCCTGGATCTCAAAGCTGCAGAAGATATTCACATTGTCAACAACGGAAGCGGCAGTGACGGAGGCAGCCAAGGAGCTCGTTTGGCTGCAAAACTTCCTGAATGAACTTGGGAGACCTCAAGAGGATGTGGCTCTATACAGCGATAGCCAGAGTGCAATCCATCTGGCAAAGAACCCCGCGTTTCACTCGCGAACGAAGCACATCGAGGTTAAGTATCATTTCATCCGACAACTTCTAGAGAAGAAGATGTTGCAGCTGAAAAAGATTCGGGGAGATAGGAATCCTGCAGACATGTTGACCAAGGCGGTAACTTTGGAAAAGTTGAAGCTGTGTGTAGCTTCGACCGGCCTTGATGATTAAAACAGGCAGACTTGGCAGAACCAGGAGCAGAGATGAACAGGTTGACTAATCTTCAAGTGGGAGATTGTTGAGGTGTGAAGATTAGTCAAAGAAAGGGAACTTCCCCGTAAGTTCCTGGTCAAAGAAAGGGAACTTCCTCGTAAGT